AATCATTATTTTGCTACTATTCTACCAGAGGTTCCTTCATTCATCTGTAAAATCCATTTTTAAAAATTTTGTAATTTCTTAATCTTAAATTTTCTCTATTATCTTACTTTCATTTTTTTCAGAGATTTTATTTATTTATTTGACAGAGAGGGAGTGTGAGCACAAGCTGGGAGACAGAGGGAGAGGAAGACACGGGCTCCCCACTGAGCAGGGAGCCTGATGTGGGGCTCGATCCCAGGACCCTGGGAATCATGAACTGAGCTGAAGGCAGCCACTTAACCAACTGAGCCACTCAGGCATCCCTTTATTTTCACTTTCACTTTTGAGTTATTTCTCCCCACTTCACCTCTCTTCTCAGAATGATGATATAATACTGAGGGCATTTCTCAGCTAAAAGGATTGGGTCAGTTACATAAAACAGTAAATTTTATACTAATGAACAGAGAAGTATGATGGTTTTAAATGCCTGATCAAAGATTACCCTTTTATCTTTACTAGAACGATCACATGCTTCTTAGCATGGGTTTTGCACATACAGTTCTCTCTATATCTAGGGATACTTTCTGAATCTATAAATATTCCTACAAATATCATTGAGCTTTGGTTCATGATTTCTACGGTTCTCTGTAATCTGCGGTTCTCAAGACCAAGAGCTTATCACTGCGACCTTAAGGGCATGCAGTAGAGGTTACCAGTAGGGAAGGAAGTTGGGGGGCAGAGAGATGTCTGAGCTCTTGGCACTCTTCTAACAGGGACCGCTACTGGTGTTGGAAGATGCAGGGAAAAGAAGAGAAATGAGAAACCCGGCCAAGAGTGAGCTGGGGATGGTCAAAGCAGCATGCTTGTGGTAAGGAGCCCTGCTGAGAATGCTCCAAGGGACAACTTGGACTCACAACTCCCATAAACATACCAGTGTCTGAGGCCCATTAAGTGCAAACCCCGATATATTCATTTCACAAAACTCCGGGTGTCTACGTATCTTAGCCCTCTAGTCCTCCATCGTTCTTCCATTGATAAGATGGAAAACAAGTTGGAGGAAATAATTATACTGTATGTCCTGTCAGGGGGGATGGGAAGGGTCCTGTTGCAGGAGGTACTATGGAAGGAAGGTGCTCTGAAACCCCAATCGTGGGCCTTGGCCTCCCTACGCACCTAGGCCAATTGTTTAAGTATTAGTACGCGGGTTCCCCAGCTGATAGCCGCCCTGGTGAGATAACTGGAGGAGTGAATGCCTGTAGGTGTCTCCCTGAATATTTCTCCTCTGAGGTGTCCAGCACCAAGGACAGGGGTGGACAACGGGCATCATCAGTGAGTGAGGCAGAATTGGCAAGGAAGAAGGCTTCTGCCTGGGAAGTTAGTGAACTGAGAGTGTGGTTATTGCTCAATTTGTAGTTCATCTGAAGATCCTAAGGTGCAGTCCTCCGGGTAAAATGAGACTTGTCTTTGGCCATTGATAAAAAACTGGTTTCCTTTCTGCTAAGGAGGAAGAACTTGCCCTTATAAATGGAAGCTACCAGGTTGCCCTTTTCCTACCAACTGAATCCACCGGTAGGAATCAAGCAAAACTGATGTGAGCTTAGGAACCAAGCCTTATTAGCATAGTGCTTCCACCTCCTGGAAAACCAGTCCAGACAACTATTCACGTGTTCTATTTTGTAATTCTTCTCAATCTTGTACACTTTTGTTTTATGTACTTTTCCAAATGTTGTATTTCACAAGGAAACAAAGTAAAAATGATCTAAAATATCCAAACTTTGCACATGTAACATAGAAAATTAGTCTGAATGCACCCAACCCAACTGACCGGTAAGATAGGCCTCTTGCATATGGCATGGTCTTGGCTTTTTTTTTTTTCCCCCATTAAATATCTTAAATATATTAAATATATTAAATATCTTAGGGAAGTTCCAGGAATCTGCCCTTATGTCACTATAAAGAAAACTCAGCTTGTTTCCTTCCTATGTAGGGAAAAACCCAGGTCTGCCCTCCTATGTCTTTCTTCCCTGTTTGTGTCCTTTACTACTCACTTAAACCACCTCACTTCTGGTCACTCATGGTGTGGAGGCTTTTCCACACACCAAACAATTCTTCGTAATACCAGCAGGGGGTCCTATAATTTAACTCAGTTCTGACACGATCTACCCAGAGATAGCATCAGACCCCACAGTTTAAGGGCTCAGTCCCACAAGACTGCCCCCCACCCCACACACACTTCAGATGTGTGTCAGAAGCCCAGGCTGTCACCCGTGCTGATTAGGTGGCTACAGACCAGAGGGTCCCATGGCCCTCTCCTTCAGTTCAATTTGCAAGTGACTCACAGAATTCAGGAAAACACAGTTGTTCACCAGATGATTAAATGACATGATCAAAGATCCAGATGGAAGATAAGGAGGGCAAGGTATATGGGAAGGGTCACGGAGCTTCCATGCCCGCTGCAGGCTCTCCATTCTCCCAGCACCTTCACGTCATTGCCAACCCGGAAGCTCTCCTAACCTCTTGTTTTGGGGATTTTATGGAGGCTTTATCACATGGGCATGAGCCATTAATTCCAGTTTTAGCCCTTTTCTCCTCTCGGTGGGGTGGACTGGAAATGCTAAGCTTCTAATCATGGCTTGGTCTTTCTGGGGACCAGCCCTCACCCAGGAGCCATAGGAAGCCACCCAGAATGCCCTCATTTGAATAAGACAGTCCTCATCCAGGAAGTGACAAGGGTTTCAGGAGTTCGGTGTCAGCACCTGGGGTCAAAGGCTAATATTAGAACAAGAGGTGCTCCTAGTGCTCTTCTCACTTAGGAAATGACAAGGTTTTATGAGCTCTGTGCCAGCAACTGGGGGGCAGAGACCAATACGTATTTTCTCTTATAGCCACCATCTTCTACAGATTAAATGAGCTGATCTTAGTTCCAGTCTTGCTGGTCACGTATGACAAACCTAATTCCCTTTCTGAGTCTTTAAAATCAAAGACCTATCATACTCCAGGGACCTTCTCTAGCCAGTCCCCTTCCAGTCTCCCACACCCAACACACACTTTTCCTCCAAACAACAACCCCCATCTTCCATCTATCCCTCATGAGCATGGTTCCAAGTCTCTTTCAGATCTGAACAACCTCCCTTGAGTACGGTGCCCAGATGGAAACAGACGCCAGGTACGAATAAATTAGAGGACTGTCACTAGCCATCTCTTCCCTTTTGTATTCTCTCTACCACTCGGAAGACTGAAGATACTGCAAAGAACATGGACTTTGAAGCCACAGGACCCGAGTTTTAACAGTGGTCACGAGCTGAAATACTAAGCAAGTTACTCAACATTTCTATGCCCACTTTTGTCATCTATGAAGAGTGTTTTATCTACTCTCCCACAGGTATGCTCTGAGAAAAACAAGCAGTTTGTAGAAGTAAAGCAGACTTTCAGTAAGTGGAACGAACATTAACAGTGTGAGCTAAGCCAAATCTCTTGGCAGTCACATCATACCATTTGTTCTTACTCAACTGTTACTATGTACTGGTCAGGGTTCAGAGAATAGAATCCACTAGTTGAGCAGAAAGAGATTTATTTGAATTTTATTGACTGCAGAAATAATTTATATCATGACCCAGTATACAAACGAACACACAAATATGTAATTCAAACAATGTTCACAATATTTACCCATCTGACGTGGGTTGTCCTCAGCTGTTTGACTATTTAATTTTTAAAAATGCACTCGAGGAGTTGATTTCATGACTCACCAATGAATTGAGACCCACAGCTGGAAAATACTACATTGCAGGTTATAACATGGCCTAAAGATCCACTGGGAGGAGAGAAGAAACAAACTCTAGCCTGTGTTTCCAGGAATTGGGCGGCTGAGGGCCACCAGCTCTGGAAGTACCCCCATCTGTACGGCCCACACTCGCGAAATGATGTCCCATGAATCCGACACCAGGACGTCTGACCGGCAAAGCCTTAGTGACACCCGAAGCCCTGGTGCAAAGGGGTCTGGGCATACAGCACAGGAAAGCATGCCTGGAAAGCTGCAGACAAGGCCCATCAAGCTAATGCACGAACTCAGCCCCTGCACCTGCAAGGGCACGCTACTCACACAGAGTAACTCAAAAGTACCTGGGATGGACAAACCCAGCGGCCTCAACACACATCATTACGTACTTTATCCCTATTAAATTGCCTATGGCCTATTATCGCTACTTTAGTGAGGGAAACTCACACAACTTGTACAATTTATTCGATGGAATGAAATCAGAAGAACCAACCATCTGCAAATACCCAGGTTACAACTCCTTTCACAAACACAGTTCTACCCAGCCAACATGGGGCCCTACTGAAAGCATGAATAAAAGATAACAATAGGGCTGCCCGGGTGGCTCAGTCGGTTAAAAGTCCAACTCTTGATTTTGGCTCAGATCATGATCTCAGGGTCATGAAATTAAGCCTGGTGTTGGCTCCATGCTGAGCATGGAGCCCAATTAAGATTCTCTCTCCCTCTCTCCACCCCCTCCCAAAATAATAGTAATTTTAAAAAATAACCCGAGGATTCTCTTCTTCCCAAATGTCACTAAGAATCTTAAGATCAAAAACTTTTTGGGGGGCACCTGGGTGACTCAGTGAGTTAAGCCTCTGCCTTTTACTCGGGTCATGGTCTCAGGGTCCTGGGATGAAGCCCAGCATCAGGCTCTGTGCTCAGCAGGGAGCCTGCCTCCCCCCGCCTCTCTGCCTACTGATCTCTCTGTCAAACTAATAAATAAAATCTTAAAAAAAACCCAAAACATTCTTTTTAAGATTTTATTTATTTGACAGACAGGGAGCACAAGCAGAGAAGTGGCAGGCAGAGGTGGGGGAGAAGCAGGCTTCCCACTGAGCAAGGAGCCCTATGCAAGGCTCCATCTCAGGATCCCGGGATCATGGCCTGAGCCAAAGGCAGACGCTTAACCGACTGAGCCACCCAGGAGCCCCGAGATCAAAAACATTTTTGAGAGCAATGAAGAGAAGGTACGAACAAGGAATAATTTCAACTTCTTTTTATTATCTTTTTCGTTCACTTCATACAATAATTTATATCTGTGAAAGAATTCAAATTCGTCGAATGAAAGGCACTGCTTATGATTCACAAAGCAACTAAATAAGTTGAAGAGAAAGCATTTAGTGAATTAAATAATACAGGGTTTTTTGGGTCTGTAATCGATATACATCTGATTAAAAAAATAAACAGTTTGTATTAGGTCACCACACAGATTTATACAATAATCAGATGTGTAAAAACATAAGCATATCAGGTTTTATGGGACCCCCCCCCAACAGAGGTATCTTTTCCTAATTCCTAAGAAAACCAAACAGTTTTAGAAACTAAAGCTATTACGTTTACAGATGTGCAAAACACCAAAACACTTTAAGCAAAAACTCTTTAAAGAAAAAGTATGTTTTCTTATTTTATTCTTGGCATAACTTAATTCTTCCCAGTGGAACCAAAACCTCCTGAACCCCTTTCAGTGTCATCTAAAACCTGAAAAGACATAAAGGTGGTTGCCAGGTAGTTAATTTCAGTTCTCCTTCAGTTCTCTCTAGCTCCTAACCTGTAAGACTTTTATTCTTGCTGTAAGACTTTTATTCTTTCAAAGAGATTACAAAAAGAAAATCAATTTTTTTTAAAGCTCCATAAATAAAATATTGGGAAATTTTCAAAAAAGCTAAGAGAAAAAGAATTTCAGGGTATACTTAACTGATTTATTACCCAAAGTAATGCCATATAACAGCTAAAAAAAATTTTCATGAAATTCTAAAACTAAGCTTTTAATTTTGCTTTAAATAGGACTATTATATGTGCTATTATTTAGTTACAAACAGCATAGGAAACCCTTGAAATTGTATTTTTCCCTTCACTGAAGAGGTGACATCATTTATTCCCTGCTTGGTTTTTATGATACTTACCTGAACTTCCTCTATTTCTGGATAAAAAATCCGTTCACAAATGAGCTGTGCGATCCGATCTCCTTTTTTGACTTGAAAGGAAATAAGAGTTTATTACTAATATTTTATTAATGCTTTCTCTAATCTTGCCTGTACAGTGAGAATTAGAGGGAGCATGTGTTATCCAAACACTCAGAATTCAGAAAACTCCCTGCATTTATGTGACTAAATGCATTTAACATACCTTCAAACTTTTCTTTGCCAAAATTAAATAGCACGACACCCACATTTCCTCTATAATCTTCATCTATGACGCCAGCTAAGGAAAAGAAGAGTAACATGAGCGCAGTTTATGCTACCAAAACACTGAGGGTATAGGATTACCTCAAAACCATTCTTATGTAGCTCCAAGATTTTAATCCTCACAAACAAGTAAGTGAATCTTGCTCTGGAACGAGGTAAAGTCTGAAAACTAAGAAATGAGTCTTACTAAAATGCAAATACATAGAATGGCCCTAATTTTCCCACCTGTCACCCTTATAGACGGTGCCATTTCCTATGCTAAACTGGGAGTATACTGGTACTTAGGGTCTCAGATGGGTCATCCTCACTCCCAAACTCCTGTGCATTTGCTGCACACCTGCTAAAAAGACCAGAAGAAAATTACAACTTGGGCTTTAAAGGCTTTTCCTGGTAGCTGCTTCCCACTAATATCCAGATTGAATATGATGGAGTCATAAATAAAAATGTCCAATAGCCTGAAGATCTGCAGTGGAATTACTCAGCGCTGACGCTGTTAAGCCTCAGGCCGGCTAATATCAGAACACTCATTTTATAACAAAAATGGAGGTGAATCCTTCCATTCATATTCCACCTCTCTTTTTAATGTGAGCCACCAGCCCTTCTTAGAGCATGAGCTCTCGGAAGACATTTGCACATCAGCCTAGTAATGAGCACACTTTTCCATAACACCATATGTGATCAGGACCTGTTTGAGATTACAAACACAGGGACAACAAATCTTTGCAGGAGAGGACTTGAGCCAGGGCCCTGCCTTGGCCCAGAGAGGTCCATTTACCAGGCTTGTTAGCATTTAACTTTGAGCCAAGAACTTAAAATGTTTCCATAAACAAAAGCACAGATGACACAGGTGTAGCAGGCCTTCCTGTTTCCTCCTTCAATACTGATATAATTCACAACTCAGCGGTTCTTAGACTATTCAGAACTGTGGAACTGTGCAACCATCACCACAAACAGTATGGGGGACCATTTTCATTACCCTGAAACAAAATCCCCTATTAGGAGTCACTTCTCTTCCTCCTCATCCTCCCCACTGCCAATTTCCTTTTATACATGTTCATTCTTTCCCCCCAGTTTGTTAAATGGTGGCTAGGACTCATGGGACCCCAATTAAATGTAGCTCCATGTTATAGCTTATGTATTAATAACACCCCACCTCCTAAAAACCAAACACACAAAACTCTTATTAAAGAAAAAAAAAAGAAAAGAAAAATAATCAGGAATGTACCTCAATGGGTATCAATGCTGACTGACCAAACTCATAATTATTTGAAGGTCAACTGAAAAAAAAAATTTTTTTTTTTTTAAAAAGAACAAAAGTAAGCATTCCCTTTCAATTTTCTTATAGGAGGGAAAAATCCAGCATGGGGTAAAGTACTCAGAAAAACCAACCTTTTAGATTTCTCCAGTGGATTATGGTAGAAGTTTAAATGAATCCTTGTGCTTTATGAATAACTTACTTTATGAATAAATAACTTATTTATTATTTGAAATCAAACTGAGCCTTCTTAAAGGTTCCTGACACAACATTTTTAAGAGTTTGAATTAAAGATAAATAAAATAAGCATTTTAAAAAATTAGTTGTCAAAGAGAGAGCACAGGCAGGGGGAACAGCAGGCAGAGGGAGAAGCAGGCTCCCCACTGAGCAAGGAGCCCGATCCGGGACCAATCCCCCTGGTATCTTAACTTGAGGTGAAGGCAGCCACCCAGGCGTCCCAAAGATAAGTAATTTTAAACCGTGAGAAGGAGGGGTAGATAAGTAGCGGAAAGGCAGCAGAACTCATTCATATCATGTCTAGACTGAAGGAAACAGTCTTTTCTTTTCTAGCTGCACAGAAACAAAACCTTGACCAATTCAAAGAATCCTGAAAACTGGCATCTTTCCCCACTGCCACTTGACCATTAAATTAGTCCTTAGTGTGTAATTGGTAGAATGATGGGACCAGCTGTTTTCTGTATTATCTATACACAGAAAGTTCTGGCTGTAGAACAACCTGGATGGGATTCAGTGGAGAAACCCCTGCGGAGAACACACTATTCCCTGCTGGAACATGTGACCCCAGAAGACCATAGAATCTCGGAGCTGGAGATCTCAAGTGCAGGCAAGTACTCATTTGTCTGGAAGGGGCTCAATGAAGACAATGCAGACGGACTTCTGAACTCTTAGTTTCTACTTTGTAAGAAAAACCTTAGATTACGCAAATACTACACATACATATAAAATAAAATAATGTTCCCCTACCTTCCCTCGGGTAGCCAATGTTACAGTAATAGATTTTACGTATTACTTTCTTGTATATTAGTCAGGTGTCAGATGTCCTTGTATTTTAGCGATTTTCAGTCTCATCAAAAAGTTTCCAGAAGGCACTTCCCTGATCAAAGGGTATGTACATTTAAAATTTTAATGGATATTTCTAGATTACCTTGCAAAAAAGGTAGAGCAATTCAAACTTCTATCAGCGATATTTAAGAATGCCCAATTCCAAAGTCCTCACCAGTACCAAATGACAGCAATCTTTTTTTTTAAAGACTTATTTGAGAGAAAGTACGCATGTGAGTGGGGGGAGGGGTAAGGAGAGAAGAAGAGGGAGAGAGAATCTCAAGCAGACTCTGAGCATGGAGCCAGGAGCCTGACATGGGGCCTGATCTCACAACCTGAGCTGAAACCAAAAGTTGGACGCTTAATCAACTGAGCCACCCAGACACCCCCAATTAAAAAAAATTCGAGGGGTGTCTGGGTGGCTTGTGGGTTAAGCCTCTGTCTTCAGCTCAGGTCACGATCCCAGGGTCCTGGGATAGAGTGCATCGGGCTCTGCTCAGCAGGGAATCTACTTCCACCTCCCCTTCTGCCTGCTTCTCTGCCTACTTGTGATCTCTCTCTCTCTCTCTCTCTGTCAAATAAGTAAATAAAATAAAAATCTTAAAAAAAAAATCAATTGAAAAAAAAAATTCGAGGCGCCTGGGTGACTCAGTTGTTAAGCGTCTACCTTCGGCTCAGGTCTTAATCCCAGGGTCCTGGGATAGAGCCCCACATCAGGCTCCCTGCTCAGTGGGAAACCTGCTTCTCTCTTGCTCTCCCACACCCCCTGCTTGTGTTCCCTCTCGTCCTGTCTCTCTCTGTCAAATAAATAAACAAAATCTTTTAAAAAATTCAATAAAATCTTAAAAAAAAAAATCCTAAAAAAAATTCTGGCCACTGTGATGACTGAAAAATGGTATCTCATGGCTTTACTTTGCATTTCCCTGATGACTAATGAGGTTAGAATGTTTTTCCTCTATATGTTTGTTGCACATTTATATGCCTATTCTTTATTTTATTTATGATTTATTCCCTCATTGCACAATTTCCCTTATCAGTTTGTTTGGGTATTTAAATCTTTTACCTATGATCTGTAAGTATTTATGTTTTTACTATATGGCATCTTCTCCCACACAAAAATTATCCCTTTTGGAAAGACCTTTGCTATGTAGCTATCAGGTAGTCTCATCAAACTCAAATCTAGCATACCCACGAATCGGGTGTCTTGAATTCTGTAAAGCCAGATATCCACCAAGATTTTATGCTTCGCACATAGAGATGTGAAAACCCTTTTAACTAAAAGAAATGAAGCTGTTCAAAGTCAGTTAAAATGTATGAAAGAAAAAAAAAATGCATCCTCAATAATACCTTTTTTTTTTTAGCATGAATGCCAACCATATGAAAAATCCAATTGTTCCAAGTTTATTACTCAGAGGCAATCTGACCTTCAAGAAAAGCCCAAGACATTCTTTTTCTACATAAGGAACATAAGCATCAGGGATATTTCTCTTCATGAGAAAGCAGAAAGTATTTTGAAGTTATCACTGGAAAAATCATACATTGGAACTGGCAGAGTAATTAACTGACTTCAGGCAAAAGTTTTACTGTGTCAAGACTTTGGCATGTCATTTGTTGGAAACCTTCTTTAGTGAAAACTATCCACACCTACCAGATGTGAATTCTGAACAGAATCCTGCATACTCAACTTTTCCCTTTGACCCTTATTTACAGCCTGGGATTTCTAACAACATCTCTCTTCTGAAGTAAAAACTGTGGCCAACTATGATAAACATGTGCCTAAGAGACATTTTTAAGAGACTCTGCGTCCAAGAACACACCACAGTGTGATTTTATGAATAATACCACACCAACCACCGGGCAAACTAACTTTCCGTTTCGTTTACATGAATCTTTCAGAAGGTTGTTTTGTAACAGAGCAAAAGTTAGTTACAAAGTCAGAAAAAAAAAACAACACAAAAACGTTGCCACATTAAAAAAAAGTCTATGAATTCTCTATAAGAAATATAACTTATACGGGCATCTGGGTGGCCCAGTGGGTTAAGGCCTCTGCCTTCGGCTCGGGTCGTGATCCTGGGGTCCTGGGATCAAGCCCCACATCGGGCTCTCTGCTCCACGGAGAGCCTACTTCCTCCTCCCTCTCTCTTCCTGCCTCTCTGCCTATGTGTGATCTATCTGTCAAATAAATAAATTAAAAAAAAAAAAAAAGAAAGAAATATAACTTAGAGGGTCTAATATGTGCCAAGCAGTGTGAGATGTGTTGCATATATTATCACTCAATCCTCCTATCCTTGTGAGGCAGGCACACTAATTTTCATCTCATGGAAGAGCAAACTGAGGCTCAGAAAGTACTAACTAGCCAATGAATAACAAAGCTGGGACCCAGTCTAGTTGTTACTCCAAAGCCCATGTTCCTTTCACAACCCTTTGAAATTTCCTTAAAAATATATGCGATCTCTTATATTCTGAAGTTATAGTCCTAAATTACCATACTTGATGTTATAAAAGTATTTTTGAAAAGCAAGCATAACTGAGCCCAGGCAATTCTCAAGCCAAGCGGGCTGTTCATCCCTGCTGTGTCAAACCTGGCTCCTCTTCAGTCCCCAAGAAAGGGCCGCCTTGGGAATCCTGTCTTGCCCCACAGCACCACCTAGTGACACTAAGGGGAGGCTGAAGGGCAGGCCAGAGACAAGCCCCAGACATGCCTCATTCCTTACTTGATGCCTGCAGCACCAGTTAACAGCAAGCTAATTTAGGGTAGCTCCTGGTTGGTGAGAGATGAAGTGAGGGGACACCCAGCATTTAACTGCAGCATAAAGAACAGAGGGACTAGAATCACAGGTGAAGATTCCAGGGTTTATATGTCCGCTTGGGATCATCTCTAAGTCAGTTCTTTATCTGCCAAAAAGTAGCTTTGTGGGGCGCCTGGGTGGCTCAGTGAGTTAAAGCCTCTGCCTTCGCTCAGGTCATGATCCCAGGGTCCTGGGATCGAGCCCCGCATCGGGCTCTCTGCTCTGCAGGGAGCCTGCTTCCCCGTCTCTCTGCCTGTCTCTCTGCCTACTTGTGATCTGTCAAATAAATAAATAAAATAAAATAAAATAAAATAAAAAGTAGCTTTGTAAGTATGGAGGGATTTGGAGAATCTAGCATACCCACGAATTGGAGGGCCAAGATACCTAATTAGGTGAGGCACTCTGCTCACTACGATGGGAATACAAGTCAGGACAAAGGTCAGTACTCCAGAAAGGAGATGAAACGCAGTATCAGAAAGGTGAGAATTTCCTGATGGTGAGGGTGGTTAGGCAGCGGATAGCACGAGGGCCAAGCAGGGATGGGGCTCTTCACGAAAGGGGCTCTACAATGAAGTTGTTGACTTTGGGAGATGTGAGTAAGGCTTTATCATAAGGGAAACAGGAGTCGCTGAGTACTTGCTTGACAAAAAATGTAGATAGTGAAGCATAGTGTTTTCTCTTCTAACCTAGGGAGAGTCACTTTTTGTATTTTGCCAAATGTGGATAGCTCTCTTATACAGGTATGAAAATTCTTACAAGACTGACCTGCATTTTCTGTAAACTTTTGCTTAAATAATTTAACAGCTATGCTTAAATAATTTAATTACTTAAAACATACTTGCTTAAAAAAATGACATGAAAGCTTTCCCTACCCTTATAAAACTAACTTTCTTTTAAGAATAGAGTCATTTTTGGACTAAATGCAGATTATCACTAAGCCAGGGCAAAAATCCTATCCATAGGATAATGTCTAGTTAGCCTATTAGTAAAATAACATGCATTTCACATCATGATCACTTTAAAATTAGACATAACCAAATAATATCTGAAACTGCATCACGATTGTTTATTATCTCAGAGGTGGAACTTTCTACAGAGGTAAAAGAACAAAAATCATTTTCTTGTCTTGAATCTCTGTCATTTGATTACTACCTGTTAAGCAAAGGCGAAGTAAACACAAACACATATTTACAGAATGAAATTGTAAACATATTACCTCCTACATCGATGAAGTGTTTTGCAGCCAAGCCAGAACGGGGAGCTAAAAAACAAAAACAAAAACAAAAAGGAAGTGGGCCCCTTTGCAGGGGGAGATGCAATACTGGATGTAATTTACACAATTTCAGCATGCCACTCTCATCTCCTAAGACATCTACCTCTTCATCTTAACTTTAGCAGATGGTTCTGGACCCAAGATTCTATTTATTATACTGTTTTTTAAAGTAGGAAAGAACAGTGTAGAAAAACTCGACAAGGTTTAATTCAAAGGCAGCTTAAATCACTCCCACACGACTTCAGTCCATTGAGGATTCGCGGTGGCCTGGCAGTAGACCATTGGGGTAGACTGAGAGGTGAGCAACTGGGGACAACCTCGACCAACGCTTTCAAGCAGTCTGCCACAAAGGGCGGACTGCAGCTGCAGTGAACAGGGCTGAGGAAGAAGACTTTTGTTTTAAGATGGGAGATCTGAACATGATGCATGGGAAGAGGGCAGAGGAGGAGGGTGGAGAGAGACAGATATAAACTTAACCAATGAGTAGCAGAGCTTAGCCTAGAAACTGGGAATCTTACTCTTAATTCAAATGCCAAATGATGTGTCTGTATAAACAAACAAACCAGAGTAAGATAAAAGGCCTGGTATCAGTCAGGCACATGGTCAAAAACTAAACCTTAAAAATTCAATTCCCATGTTTTTTATTCTTAAAATGAAAGCATAAACAAGCGAACTTTGTACCTTACATTTGTTGACTTGAGCATCAGGCCTCTCATTAATTATTCCAGCTTCTAGTTTTCTATTCCATAATAACTTAAATCAGGCACTTGTCATTAAATGCTGCTGCTTCCTGCTTTTCCTTTTATTTCAATTCCATCTCCTCATCTCCACCCCCCAAAATACTCTCAGCCAAATGCTACCAAAAGGAGATAAAGAAAGAGCCCATCTCGTTTTTCTTTGAAAGGCAGAAGTATGAGCAGTTCTCACACTCATGGTCACAAGACGGTGGTGGTCTAGCCCCTTCCCACCAACAGTTCCATTTGTTCCTTCACGTTTACTCTGAAGCTAGAAAATGATTATGCAATTTAAGAACATTTTGAACGCTCTCTCCAGTGACAGCGACCGGCTCTTCGTTGTCATAGCTCTTCCCACTTTGATGGTACCTGAAGGGTACCCGTGACCCCAACATACCCCATGGGAGAACACCCAAAGAGGGGAAAGGCTAAATGGTCTGATGGACTTTGAGCGAAGAGAAGCAAAAGTTTTACTCTCAGGATAAAAGATGCTGTGTGCCATGAGCCCAACCCTGCCTCTATTTTCTTCTATTACAAGCATTAGCCATTCTCATCATCATCTTCACGAAGACGTCTAACCTCAGATGCAGTCTGATCCTTGGAGGGGGAGTTCAGTTAAAAACCACCTGTGTTTTCAGTGTCTCAGTGAGGAGTTGAGAGAAAAACTCTGGGGCCAACGTGAGCCTCCTAAGAGCTCAAGGAATCAGAAAAAAGAGAGGGGGAGGGTTGGGGGGTGGTAGGCGTATGTGTGTGTGCAAGAAAGAGATATGTAACTGAAATGTAGTTTTCAAGCAGTTGTATCTGCCATCACAGCTGGCACTTCTTTATTTTAGGACCCATGCCAAACAATATCCCTTCCCTCACTTTTACCCTGAATGAAACTAAGATGAAGAAAGAACTAAGATGAAGGAAGAGATCATAAAGGAAGAGCTTGACAAATAGTTACCGTGTCTTAAATCACTTACCTACTCTTCCATAGCACCCAGAAGGAAGAGCTACCTGAATGTCCGTTTTCACAAGGGCCTTCTCCATAGGTGGTAGCATATAATCATAGGCACTAGGAAAATGAAAGGAAATTACCAGTATTTATTCATAAAATTGTATTTTTTTCTTCCTTGTGACTAAGTATATAGAATTGCTTTAAATACATCTCATAAAATAATCACAAAATAATTCATGCAATATTAAATTTCAATAACCCATCTAAGAGTTGAGTACTCTAAATTTCCAATTCAGATTAAAAAAAAAGTTTAGGGGTGCCTGGCTGGCTCAGTCATTGGAGCGTGTAACTCTCCCTTTCCTATTTTTTTTTTTTTTTTTAAAGAGATGGGGAGAGAGAAAGAGAGAGAGAAGCGAGGGCAGAAGTGGGAGAAAGAAAGGGAGAGAATCAACACAGGGCTCAATCTCACAACCCTGAGATCATGAGCTGAGCTGAAATCAAGAGTCAGATGCTTAACCGACTGAGCCACCCAGACGCTCCAAATATGTGACTCTGGATCTTGTGGTTGTGAGCTGGAGCCCCACATTCGGTGTAGAGATCATTTAAAAATAAAAATTTATGAAGAAGGTAGTGGCAGACCTTTCCTTTTAGTTGATTCTTAAAATGGTGCTACCTTTAGATATAGTCATTCTGGTGAATTTTTTTGGCTTAAGAGGTTATCAACATGTAATCTTGTTCTCCCCAGACAAAATTTGTTGGGAAATTGATGTGCACATTAGCAGGGGGTGGCAGAAAGGCAGACTTTTCAAAGATGCATGCTTCACTAACACGATATAGAGAAAGAGAAAGAAAAAACCAAGGGGGGGATGTGCAAATATGGTGGCATGGTAAGATCCCGAACTCACCCACTCCCACAGACACACCAAATCTACAGCTACATATGGATCATTTCCCTCTGAAAAAGAGCCAAGAAAGAAGGGCAAATACTCGCTAATAACAGCTAACATTTACTAAGCCCTTACTCTGTGCCAGGTATAGTCCTAAATGCTGTATATAACTCATTTTATTCTCACAACAATCCTCTAATGATTAGGGAAGACATGCAGAGGGAAGGGGAAAATGGGTGGACAACATGGGGGAAGGGGGGGTAGAGCTTTGTTTTCTCTGTTCTGCTGGTCTAGGGAGTTAACCAAGCTTACCAAGCTGATACCATGAACCTCACTGCCTGGGGGACAGAGCTGATCACTGAGAAGAGGCCCTGGAGAAGGGCACTACTAAGGACCCGATTCTCTAAGATCCACCCAGCAAATGCTGCTACTGTTGCTATGACTGTAGCTCCCTTCAATAGAAATGTGAGATTTTACAATGAGCAGAACTATGAGTTATTTAGGAGACTTTAATACAGATTAGTAACGCAGTATTACATTTTCACTTCTTTCATTGGGACTTCCTCTCTTTCAATAGTTAGACTAATTTATTAGAAAGAAGTTATTTCCATGTCTATTTCTGTATATAGTCATCTTTGTTCATTAGAAGGATATTTTAAGTATTTTAAATCTAAATCTCTCATATGACTCACAATGCCCAGACATGGTACTACATCACTCCACTTTCATCCATGAAAACCAAGGGACTGAATACATCCCTTTCAGCTATAACAGACCATACCTCACTTTTCCTTTTCTTTCCTTTCTTCATTACTTGCCTCACACACTCCTTTCTCCCCTTCTCCTATACTTGTATGACTTAGACCAGTAGTTCTCACATTAGAATTACCTAGGATGCTTTAAAATAAATCCTAAGGGGGCGCCTGGGTGGCTCAGTGGGTTAAGCTGCTGCCTTCGGCTCAGGTCATGATCTCAGGGTCCTGGGATCGAGGCCCACATCGGGCTCTCTGCTCAGCAGGGAGCCTGCTTCCCTCTCTCTCTCTCTGCCTGCCTCTCTTCTACTTGTGATCTCTCTCTGTCAAATAAATAAATAAAATCTTTAAAAAAAAAAAAAATAAATCCTAAGGATGTAGTCATGTAGTAAACACCCATTCCCTCCAGTATCCCTGTTCACTTACCTTAATGGGTTGAGACCCGGACACAGTAGTTAAGGGTAGGGGGAAGCACTGAACTAAGGGTCATAAATTTTACTACATTCCAACCCTGGGGCAATCAATTCAGCTCTTTTCAAGTACCCTCACCTGTAAAAAGGTTAGTAACAACTACTTCAGGACCGTTGTAAGGATTTTTAAAAATCGCACACATAGGGGCGCCTGGTGGCTCAGTAGGTTAAGCTGCTGCCTTTGGCTCAGGTCATGATCTCAGGGTCCTGGGATCGAGTCCCGCATCGGGCTCTCTACTCAGCAGAGAGCCTGCTTCCCTCTCTCTCTCTCTGCCTGCCTCTCTGTCTACTTGTGATCTCTCTCTGTCAAATAAATAAATAAAATATTAAAAAAAAAATCGCACACATAAAGTTTTTAGTAGAGATAAAAAGTGCTGAACCAATGGAAGGGTGGTAGCATTACAGACATTCCCAACGCGTTTCATATTCGTACTCCTTCTGACATTCCCAGTACTTGGAGTGAACTTAAATAGGGACATACAGAGAAATTCCACAATTCCTTTAAGGCAGAAGCACCTTTCATTCATCCTCCCTGGGTATTTCCACACTCAGCACCTACACGTCCCCCGTGCCTTTTCTTCCTATTGTGCACTGCATCACCCGCAGGCCACGCTTTGAAGCCAAGGCGGGCCTTATTCACCTCTACCTTCCACTTGGAAAGGGTACAATAAATGTTGCAAAACAAATAATGCCTTGGTGGACATTTATATGTAGTTATCATTCTGCACACTTCTGTCAAATTCTTACTGAATTTATGCTAAAAAGAGGAAAACTAAAATTTTTCAACACTAGAAAAGGACGGAAATCCTACATATATGCAAAAAGGGATTGTTTCTGTAATCTTTCAGGTAAATTTGAAGCTGTGGCAATAGATGGCAGGATTATAAGCGAACATGACTGAGAGCCCTAGAACTCCAGAACTGGACCTTCTCCACGTGGGGCAGCGATGGCGCGGGCTGAAGGCGGCCGGGAGTCCCCACTCACCTGTACAAGTCGTAGCCCGCAGCCCGCGCGGACCCCTTGGTCGGGGCGGTGGCGTGCTCTGAGAGCCGGACGAAGCGAAGCCGCATGCTGTCCTCCGCAGGCCGGGGCCGCTTGCTGGGGGAGGTGGCGGGTGTCGCTTCAGAGCAGGGCATGGCAGAACAGAACGCGAGAAAGGACAGCAGCAGAAGGGACAGATGGATACAGAATTAGCTTGCCCGCCAGAACTTAAATCTCCCGCCAGCACCTTCCCGCCCTGCCCACCCCTGGACGAGCCCACAATCCTGGCTGAGAGGGGACGCCTGATTCAATTTGGGGTTGCAAACCCCTCTGGGAAAGCGGATTTGGGACAGGAAACTACTGCGCCTTCTCACGCTTTTCCAGCTCAGGGTACAGAGCCAACCCGTGCTTGAACAGCTACAGAGGCCTCCCGCTCACACCACAAAAAGCAACCACTTCCCCCATCAGGAGGGCCTAATGGACTCGCGCGCGCGCGACGAGGGGCTGCGCTTCCTTCCAGGGCCCAACCAGGAGGGCTTCCTCAACCCGGAGGGCTTCCTCGTCCCGGCGGCCCGCCGCCTCCTCCCCCGCCTCTCCCGGAGGCCGCGGGAGGGCCGGCCGAGCGCTGAGCCTCCCCACGCGCCCGAGGAGGCGCATCCTTGCAGCCCGGGCCCCGACATTACTGGTGCCGCGGCAGCCCCGGCTCCGGCTGCGAGTGCTGGACAGCGGCCGGAAGGGAGGCCCCGCGGCTTCGGCTCTCGGCAAGGCGCTGCGCGCGACTTTGAACACTGAGCGGAGCACGGACGTAAAGAAATGGTGGAGCGCGGGGTGAGGGCAGAGGGGAGTCATTCCCCCCAGGCTGGGGCGCTGGTTGGTCTTCCGCTCCCTCAGGCGCGCGCCGGATCTGCACCCTTTAGACGCGTCCGGGTTCGTTTGACCTCGGAAGCAGTAACCGCCGCCGTCTGACGAGGAGCGCACGGAGGCGGCACATCCGCCTCCCTCCGGCCGGCGCAGGCCCTGGGCCCCCAGGCACGGCGTCTCTGCCTCCCTCCTTCGACCCGCATCTTTTTTGTGGCCCGTTTTCCAAGAACTTCCTCGAGGCTCAGAGCCTGGCCTCTGCGCACTGCTGAGTTACCTGGGGCCGCTCCAGTCGCGGCCATGGCTCCTCCCGTTCTAATCTCAGGGAACCGCAAAGCAACGGAACCGCATCACGATGCCCGTGACAGTCGCTGCGCTCAGTGATGCGTCCTAGGCTGCGAGCAAGGCAGCGTGTCCCTCTCCGAACAGCACCCGCAGTGCACGGCGTGTCGTTTACCCTTAAAAGAAGGCGGGGGCATGGTCTGAGGATGATCCCAGCGACAGCTCAAGTTGCTAGCGCTGTTTCATTGGACTCACAGAAGCACGGCGGGGCGGGGGGTGGGGGGTCTCGTGTAGGAGGGCAGTGGCTAGGATTCGAGCGAGATCCTGGGCTACCCTGGAGTAACAGCAGGGATGAGTAAATAACTGCATAGGTAATGGTAAACTGGGTTTTCTAGGTTATAAATATGTCCAGTTATTTCCAGAACCGAGGCAAAAAACCTGAAAACCAAAATATAATACAGCTTGTCAAAAGCGAACTATAGGACAGTTTTAGAAAAATGGCAACATTAGGGCATTGTTGAGGAATTTTCCAGCCTTTCCTGCTGTGCCTTATGCGCCCTACCTCTGCAGGTTCCTATTGGCTCCTTTTAAATGTTGGGATTCCTGTGGATGAGTTTATGGATTATACTCTATGCTCTTCTCCCATGCCTTTAAACATCTGCCACCTGATGGGGCGCCTGGGTGACTCCTGTGGTTAAGCATCTGACTTGATTTCTGCTGGTGCCTTGATCTCAGGGTCTTCACTTCCGCCCTGCCTTACTAAAAAACAAGACAAAACGAACAAAAAATAACTACCACCTGAGGACTCCACTTGCTCGCCTATAGCAACATGATCTGGGCCCTGCGAGTTCTCCAAACTCGTCAGAGCCATCATCCTACTCACCCCTGGCGCTTCTGTCTACAGTGGCTCTCTAACAAGTTTCTGGACGCACCGGACTTCCCTGCCTGGGAGGCTACACACATCCTTCCTTGGTTTGCACTTGTGTTTCCGCTCATCTCAGAAAGACTAATGCAGTTCATTTTGTCAGGGAAGGGCCTCACCACCGTGTTCCAGCACAATAATCTTTTCTAATCACACCATGTATTACTACAATCTGTACTTCTTTCATTATTTATTTTTCTCATTGTCTATTTGCTCTAGGAAACATAAGCTCCAGGGGGCAGGGACCATGTATGTCTTCACTCACTACTATATTCCTGGGGCCTAGCTTACTGCCTGGCTCAAAAGACTGCTTGATAAATGTTTGTCCTATGAATGAGATTCATCAGGCCCCTGTATAGGATCCCTTCTCAAAGTCTTGATTTTCCTGTCCACTCCTTAAATTTTTTTCCTTTTTCTTTTTCTTTTTTTTAAATAGAGAGTTAGAGAAGGGACAGAGGAAGAGCGAGAATCTTAAGCAGGCTGCACAGCCAGCTTGGAGCCCAACACAGGGATCAGATCTGGCAACCCTGAGATCAGGACCTGAGCCAACATCACGGGTCCGTTGCTTAATCACCTGAACCACCCAGGTGTCCCATGTCCACCCCTTTATCAGTGCATTTTGTTATTCTATATATGCCTTTCCAAGGCCTGCAATGAAAAACTGGTCTACCCCTCCACCAAAACCCTCCCCCACATTTCACGCCTCGGGAAAATGCTTCCAACTTTTTCTGGCTCTTTTCTACTGGAGTGTGCCTCCCTATTTCTTAAATTACATTTTTTTTTTTTTTAAGATTTTTATTTATTTGACAGAGAGATCACAAGTAGGCAGTGAGGCAGGCAGAGGGAGGGGGAAGCAGTCTCCCCACCAAGCAGAAAGCCCCATGTGAGGCTTGATCCAAGGACCCTGAGACCTTGACCTGAGCGGAAGGCAGAGGCTCAACCCTCTGAGCCACCCAGGTGCCCTGCTATTTTTTTTTTAATGGCATAGAAATTATCTTCAGAATTAGGGTAGTTGAGGAGTAAGTCTCTTATTGCTCTTTCCACCCCATTCTGCAAAGAGTTTTGTAATAATTTTTGGTTAAGTGAGCAGTACTTAAATCATGACTAAATATTATTCACTGTTGAGTAACATGATATTATTTTTTGACACCTGTCCTCCTCAAGTTAATAAAGGATGTTCTTCCATTTGTCTTTGTTGGTAGTGGTGTTTTTGATTCACCTATTGTTTTTTTTTTTCCCCCAAGTGCTCCAGAGAATCCAGTACCTCACTTCTGTCACATCAAATGAAACACTGAAACACATCAAATCCCTTATCAATTCCATTTACTCTCTCCCTCACTCTTCGGTTTTCTTGCTCCACTTGCTCTGCACGTGACCCTCTAGTCCTGCTGAACAGCTATCATCCTGACACTTCCCTTGGCCTTTCTCTTATAGTGGAGCCTTGGTTTTATGGATCTAGTATCTTCTAGTTTATTCCTTCATTTTGCTGGAGCACTTTCTCTAGTAATTACCTACGGAAGTTCACATTAGAGATAAATTGAGTCCTAAAATATAATAATTGTAATGACTCCCTTCACCCAAACCCAAATAAAAATCTCACCTCATTCATGAAACTTTTTTACAACCAGTAGTGAGCTCTGCCTTGTCCTATCTCGTACAATCCTTATTGTATCATTCATTAGCCATGTACTCCCACTGTGTAATTGCCTCCTTTTATGCATTTTATCTTTCACATCAGAGCCAGAAACTTGTATGAATCCTTCAAAGCACCTACTTCAGTGTTTCATACAAAAGTTATTTATAGATTGTTATTTATATATTTATAACAATTTTATAACAATATATTGTTATTTATAGTTATTCATAGAGTTTATTATAGATTGTAAGGAGAAAAGCATATAAGCCAACTGCAAAAGAGTAATAGGTTAGTGCTCTGAACCAGAAAGCACTGGACATTCCTTATGTGCCGGGAATGCCCAGCGATCCCTGTACTGATGGATGGAAGATTATGCAAATTTGCTGTGAAAGAGAGAAGACAAGGGGGGCAACAACTCAGGGATGAAGACTCTTTGTTCTTCTTTCCTCCCACTTTTGGTCTTTCAGGATAATCACAAATCCTTATCACTATTTCTCAAGCACGTGAGGTGTGACAAGGGGTCTTAACAGAAGCTAGAAGGATGTTTATGGGAAAGATATGATATGCTAATCTCCAGGTTCTAGGAGTTCTGCTAAACATAGCCTAAGGGACAATGCATACATCTCTTAGATCAGGCGTAGGCTGTTTGGGCTAAGAAAGCTTCCCAGAAGGTTAACTCCCAGAGGCACTCCAAGGACAGCACGCTCACACAGGCCCCGGCATTCCAAAGGCCTACGCCCTTCTCCCAAACCTTCCTTCACTCCCAGCGGCCTCTGTGTTACATTCTAGCAAGCCACGTATTATGGCTGATTTCATGCTCTACATTAACCCCAACACTTATGACAACTGAAATATAACTTGATATGAAAACACATCCTAAATTCAGTACTCTACAGCAAAGAACTAGACATAGTTTATTTCCTGCTGTTTTTTTAATCAGAATATAATTATCCCATCAGTCATGCTGATTAATTCAATTACATAAGTCTAGGGCCAACTTGAACCTGTTGAGAATGCAAGTCAGTACTTTACAAGCCAAGCTGTCCTTCCTATCTGTACCATTATAGGGAGAATTCTGTTTTTTAATAAAGAGTTAATATGATGGTTACTTTATGTAAAGTATATTTTAAGTGCCTTATGAATATTAACTCATTTAATCATGACAACCAGAAGAAGCAAGTGCTGTTATTATCCCCATATTACAGGTGGGGAAACCAAATCACAGGTTAAATTATTTGCCCACGATCATACAGCTGACAACTAGAAAGAGACTAAGCCAAGATTCAACTTGAGGTAGTCCGGCTTCAGAGTCCTTACACTTAGCCACTGTGCTGTGTAGGTTTAATGGCGCCTACCCAGTCTGTGATTAACTCTTCTTGATGCGGAGCCTGCTACGTGCTGTGTTCGCCAGTTCTGGCAGTTAGATGTGTGTAGGAAATTAACCAGGCACTCCTAGCTTCACAGTTGATCGTGCCCTCCTTGTTGAGACACTTCCTCACCAGGCCATACTCTGGTTTTCCTCTTACTTCACTGGCTGCCTCGCCTCTTCTCAACCGCTCTTCTTCCCCAAGATAATAACCCTAGGAGGGGCACCTGGGTGCCTCAGTCAGCTAAGCATCTGCCTTGGACTCTGGTCATGAACACCGAGTCCCGAGACCCAACCTGGAACCGGGGGTTCCCTGCTTAGCGACGAGTCTGCTTCCCTCTGCAGCTCCCCCTCCTTTGCCCCGCCCTCTACCCCTCTCCCTGCTCGTGCTTTCCGCCACTTTCTCTCTTTCTCAAATCTTTAGTCATGCTTCCTCTTTCTCTGTCAGACGTTCCCTTTTCTAAAAATAGTTTCTTCATAGGTACCACGTGCTGCTTTGCCCTGTTTGGGTTTTCTTCACAGCCTGTAGTGTTACATGCTATTACCTATTTATTCATTTCACTCGTCAGTTGTATGTTTTCTCCTCTAGCATGGTGGACCTGAATTTTTTTTTTTTTTTTAAGATTTTATTTATTTATTTGTCAGAGAGAGAGAGCATAGGCAGGCAGAGTGGCAGCAGAGGCAGAGGGAGAAGCAGGCTCCCTGCCGGGCAAGGAGCCTGACGTGGGACTGGGTCCCGGGACGCTGGGATCATGACCTGAACCGAAGGCAGCTGCCCAACCAACTGAGCCACCCAGGCATCCCCTCGATCTATCTTAATTTAGGTTCTTTTGAGATGTTCTGTTTCTTTTTATCCTTTCAAATTGTATTATTATTAATTTTACTTTAATTAATTTAAATATTTTACTATTTCACGTTTCCCTTTACTAATTTAGGTATTTTGTTCTCTGATACTATGTGTTTTAGATAAAACATGTGTGTTTAATTCATCAGTGTCTAAAGTCTAAAACAAAATTTTTATCCTGAAAATGCTTTAACTCCATTAACCCTTCTTTTGACATAAATACAATTATTGTCTAGTGTTTAAGTGTATCTATTCTTTGAATCTCAATAAACATTATTATTATCACCATTTTTAGAGTCATTTTAAAAAATGTTTACCCAGACTTACATCACTTTCTTTGCTTTTCTTTCTGTATCCCAGATCTCCACCTGGGATCTTTGTCTTTTTGCCCAAACTTCTATGGGGAAGTTCTCCAGTAGGTGAACTTTCTCGATTTTTGTCAGTTAGAGCAAAACCCTTGAACTCTTCTTCAGGGATAGTGCATTCTTTGACCATCGTAGAAGAATGGAAGAGGTGAGAACATTGAAGGAAAATTATAATTCCCCATAACTGGATAGTTCTGCTGTATCTGAATTCAGAACATTCCACCATGGGCAAAAATACTTCATTTATCATGCCATAGTTCACCTTTACCAGAAGTATTTGTAACCCAGAAAAGGCAGAAGCCAAACTTTGGGTCCCAGTACCAAAATATAGAAGTTCTATGTCTCAAGCTGAGTTTTTTACACCATGGACAAAGCACCAGAGTAAGGCTAAGGATGGGTGAGATATACATCTATCTTTTATAGAAGAGCAATTGAGGGGGCCCCTGGGTGGCTCAGTAGGTTAAAGCCTCTGCCTTCGGCCAGGTCATGATCCCAGGGTCCTGGGATGGAGCCCTGAACCGGCCTCTCTGCTCAGCGGGGGGCCTGCTTCCTCTTCTCTCTCTCTACCTGCCTCTCTGCCTA